TTTGCATCTGTCCTGAATTGCTCGAGGTCCCAAAAAAACTAACCTTTTTTTTTAATTATTTCTATTGCTAGGGCCACCAATTGTCCACTCACGGTTACTATGTTTCGGTCTTCATGGCTGTCTCTTATCAAACTCTCTCAAATTACTCTCAACTCTCATAGCTATCTCTGTCAATTTCCCAAACTCTGAGCAGCAGTGTGAGGCCACTATTATTCTGATCCTACCTTTGAGGCCCTCCTCAAATCTCCTACATTTTGCTCTCTCATCTCTGGCTATAAACGAGGCAAAACGGGATAACTCAATAAACTTAATCAAATATTCCTCCACTGACATATTTCCTTGTGTCAGTTTGATAAACTCACTCTACTTAGCATCCTGATACACCATAGGAAAATAATGATCAAAGAACTCCTGACGAAAATTGGCCCAAATAATTGTTGTCGGATCCCCATATCTAGGTTGTACCGATCTCCACTAATGACGAGCCCTACCTTTTAGTAAAAAGGTAGAAAACCGTAGTTTTTGGTCATCGGTTCACTCCATCATCCCAAATACTTGTTCTAATTGATCCATCCAAGAGTCGGCGTCTGTGGGATCTCCCGTCCCCTCAAAGTCTGTTGCCCCTAATTTTCTCACTCTCTCTATAGTTTTTCCTTCTCCCTGACGCCCAGGTGTCCTATCCTGCACTACCCTAGTCATTAGCTGAGCTAGCCTATCCATAGTCTGCTCCATGTTATCCCCATCACCTTGGAGCCCTACATTTTGTTCACTCACTGGTCCTTCCCTAGCATTTTGATCATCGGTATCTAATTCTTCCTGGGGTCCTTGAGGTCCTGACCTACAGGTACCCGACTCTTCTACTCTCTCTTCCCCAGGCCCACTCACCCTCCTAAGTACTCTAGAACTAATAATTCTCTCACAGATTTCGTGCGAGGCTGGCCACGTTGACTCATGATGATATCTACAAAACATAAACAAATTGGTTTCTAGAAAAAAAAAAAAAACCTCATGGATTGGAAATAAGCTTCATTAAGGGACTAATTGGCATGCGTGAAATTTTTCAAAAAAAAATGCCCTTAAAAATCGAAAACCATGCTCTGATACCAAGTTGACATGATCCGTCCTGAATTTCCTCATCCCGTAGAATCCGGGCGCTCCCACAAGACTCGAATACCCAAGACATGCCATGTAGAAAACTGTGAAACCTGTTAAAGGACTTACTTTTTCTTAATAACATCATAGTATTTCCATTTCCAACATCTCAAAAAAAACAAAAAAACATACACCATCTTTTGTTTTACAAAAGAAAAGATTTAGGGAAACTTGTGATATCAAGTTTTTCACTTACGCTACAAATTTCAAAACATAAACAAAGGAAATACATGGGAAACCTGAGTTTTTGAAACGGAAGTCCAAAATACAATACGTGGAACAACCCTGAGCGAAGACTCACTACTCGGTACGATCTCCGGGAGGTCCTGGTGAAAGAGAGGGGGGGGAGGGGAGGGGAGGGGGGGGAACGGACGGGGGACATTTAAAAAGGGTTGAGCTGAAATACTCAGTGAACGGGGGAAAGGGGAGGTTTACAAAAGTTCTTAAGAAAAAAGAAATAATTATAGCATACAAGTTCTCTTAAGCAAATCCTGACAAGAATATAATTATATGAATATGCAATGGAAGCAACCACCCATTCACATATGCAATATGAGATTTATTTCTAACCATCCTGTTCTCAGTAAACTGTACTCTGACTTACTTCCTTTAACTGTATCGGATTCTGAATAAAATCTCAACATTTGGTATTAGAAACTCTCACCACAACTAGCACCCTGGGAAAAAATCTGTCATACCTGGTGGGTGTCTCACATGCAGGCTGAGAGAGCGACATACCTATCATACCCGACAAGGTCTATCATCGCGCGGGCAAAGCCTCAAAACTGTCATACCTGGCGAACCACTCAACTCCTAGGCAGAGCACTGATAACTGTCATACGCATGCGTAGAGCCATAAGCTAGATCTGATAATCTGTAACTCTGGGGGATGGGTGCTTCGTAGGGTGGTTTTAGCATCACAACAATCTCGTGCATAATCTCAAGTAACATGTAAATCAAGAGCATATTACGTATGTGCTTATAAATCATACATATATGACATAATATTCAAAAATCACATATAGGGGTGAAATTGCAATTTTTTTAAACATGTTTCAGAAACTGACGATTTAACCCAGATTAAAGAAATTACTTCAATTACAGTCATGGTTATCAAATCGAGTATCGTATCGTGTATCGAAAACCTAATTTTTTGAATCGTGTATCGCGTATCGTATCATATCGTATCGTATCGTATCGTAGGATATGCCTTTTTCAAAAAAATTAATAAAATAATCAAAATTTTAAAAAAATTAATATTATTCCCAAGATTAATTAAAGAATTTTGTGGTATTATTGGCTTTAAATTATGGTATTACATAATCAAAATTAATCACAAAATTAAGAATTTATATTATTTTCTCTCAACCATTCATATCATTTCCAAGATCAATGTCAATATTTATATCTCCACTTATATTATTATTATCATGTAAAATGGATAACATATATTCCTCTTCACTTTCTCTACGCAAAATGGGTAAATTTAGACAGGTTTTAGTGAATCGGGTTGGGTGACCTGGTTTCGACCCGAAATTTTTTTGGGCCTTTGGCCCAAATTAATAAAGTCGTATCAATCTATATCGATATTTTTAAGGATACGAACGGATACATATCGTATCATAGGATACATATCAATGTATCGAAAGGTTTATGATACACTCTCTGATACGTATCGTTGGCTACCTGTATCGAATCGTATAGTATGATACGTATCGGGTATCATAGGATACTAACAACTATGAATTACAGCACTTCATTTCCAATTAAAAACTTCTCCATGTCGAGAACAAGCAAGAAAACATTTGTGATTATGTTATTCCAGAGCAAAATTTCAGACTTTCCAAGCATGTTAACCAGCCAAACTTTAATTCCTCTTTATAAAGCCATTTCCATCCCATTATAAGCACACATTCCATTATAAAATTCACGAAACTATCCTCTTTTCATACCAAAAAAAATATGTTGCCTGAAGTCATATGTTTACGGACTAAAACTAGTGCAAGATTCAGACGAGTTATGCATATGAAAAAAAAAATCATTTATTTATTATTTAAAGCATGCTTCCAACACCATCAGGTCTACTGTCCAGCCAAAAACACCCAAGCATATTATCCGACTACACAAATCAGCTTTTGTTAAATTCGTATCTAAGACACTTTCACTCAAAAATTGGCTCAGCCAGGACATGCTAAGGTAAAGTTTTAGCAAGCTTCATACTCAAATCAATTTCTAGCAACTATTTTCAACCAACCCTTATTATGCATGCAGCCGAAGCAAATGTAACAACACAAACCAATAAACTTTCCTTTTTACAACAAGATTTCGGCCACCGACACAATCAACCTATTTCAACTCAATTAGCCAAAAGCAAACTAGAATGAATATCTCACAAACATCATGCTCGTAAAGATTTTTTGGCAAAACAAATGGACGGTAGTAAAAGGCAATCAACATGCAAGGGCATAAGCTTAAGTTTTTTAAGGAAAACAGTTTAGATCCACTCACTATTCTAACAGCCGAAGCTCTCTGCACTCTCCTCTACTCTTCTCTCTCACTCTACCACTTTCAGCCGCACCCATTCCCCTCTCTTCTCCTTTTTCTTCTTTTCTTCTTCTTTCTTTCTATCCTCTCTTCTATCTTTCTCTCTTTCTCCATTCGTTTTCTCTTCTCTCACTCTTTTTTTTTTTTTTTTTTTCTCTGTTTTCGCTTTCTCCCTCAGCTCACGTCTTCTTCTTCTTCCTTTGGGCGAACTGTCCAGTTTTCTTCTTTTAAACAAAAACAATTTTCTAAAATTATAATTCTGCACTCCAATATTCTCTAAATTACAGTCTAACTCCGCCACCTAAGCCTCTCGTAGCAAAAATGTCTAGATTTTTCCTTCTTGATACATGCAAACCCATCAGAATTTATTTATTTGTTTTCACCCCTTAACGCAACTTTAAAAACTGACAAAAATACCCCTTTCTTACAACAATACCATAAAATCAAATAGAAAGGGAATTAAATAACTAAATAAAACTCATGCTATTACTAAATTAGAAATGGGGTTTTACAAAAGACCTTGAAAAACAAAATTTTGTCTCGGTTTGCAAATTAAGCAATTAACAAGTGGAATTTTTATGCACCAATCAAATTATACCGAGAAAATCTTAAAACAATTTTATATGGATAAAGCACATCCATTGAGTACCCCAATGATTNTTCTTTTCTTTCTCCTTTCTCTCCTCTCTTCTTTCTTTCTCTTCTTTCTTCTGCTCTCGTTTTCTCCTTCTTCCTTTGGGCGAACTGCCCAGTTCATTCCTTTAAATAAAAATAGTTTTTCTAAAATTATTTCTGCCCCCCATTTTCTCTAATTTCCAATTTAACCCCGCCACATAAGCTTTCCCTAGCAAAAATGTCCAAATTTTTCCCTCTTGATACATGCAAACCCATCAGGATTTATTTCTTCGATTTCACCCCCTTAACACAGCTTTAAAAACTGACAGAAATACCCCTATCTTACCACAATACCAAAAATCAAATTAAAAAAAAGAATTAATTAACTTAAATACAATTCATGATCTAACTAAAATCAGGAATGGGGGTTTACAACTTCCCCTTAAAAGAATTTCGTCCCGACTTTTGGATTTGTCTTTCAACTCTTTCATTTTGAATGTCAGTTCCGATTGGGTGCCTCCATTCCAGGTTGAGTTTCTTTTCCTGAGTTTCTTTTCCTGCGTTCCTGTCGTTTGGGTCCATCATTTCCATATTGGCTTAAATCTCAAAGAGCGGTCAAGTTTCTTGATTTCTCAAAAGCTAGTATTTCGGGTCCCATACCCAACTGGTTTTGGGACCTTTCTGGCAGTATGAATGATTTCAACCTCTCTTTCAATCAGTTACAAGGTCAACTACCAAATCCGCTAAATGTAAGGCATAATGCTGTGATTGATTTGAGCTCTAACATCTTCAAAGGATCTATTCCTCTGCCGAGTTTCCCTCTTTTTCAACTAGCTCTTTCAAACAATGAATTTTCTGGTTTTATTCCGGAGAATATTGGTGAACAGTTGGGGTTTTAGATTTTTCTTTCACTTTCAGGCAACCAACTATCTGGTTCAATTCCTGAGTCTGTTGGACGGCTGTCATTAGTTGCTGTGATTGATCTTTCAAGGAACAATTTAACTGGGAGAATTCCTTCAAGCATAGGGAACGGTTTTTTTCTACAGGTTTTAGACTTACAAAACAATAATCTGTCAGGGGAAATTCCAAGTTCTTTGGGCGACTTGTATAATCTTCAGTCACTTCACCTAAGCAACAACAAGATCTCAGGAGAAATTCCATTATCTTTCATGAGTTTGCTGTCTTTGGAAACTTTGGATCTTGGAAACAACTGTTTGACGGGTAAACTTCCTCCATGGCTTGGAGATGGGTTTCCATATCTTAGGATACTAAGCTTGAGGTCAAACAGATTTTCCGGAGAACTTCCCTCCTCTCTTTCAAAATTGAGTTCACTTCAGGTCTTGGACCTGGCGGAAAATGACTTTAATGGTAGTATTCCTACTACATTTGGGGAACTTCAATCTATGACTCAAGTGCAAAAGAGAAACATTCATCTGTTTTATGGGTCTTTGTACTACTATGAAGAAAGCTATGTTGTAAATTTAAAAAACCAGTCTCAAAAGTACACAAGGACTCTCTCTCTTATGACAAGTATAGACCTTTCCGGGAACAACTTCTCTGGAGAACTTCCTGAAGAAATTTCAAAGTTGGTGGGTTTGATAGTTTTAAACCTCTCAAGAAACCATTTCAGTGGCCCAATTCCTCCTAGCGTGTCGCAATTGTCATCCCTTGATCTTTCTGATACTGGTTTTTCAGGTCCAATTCCTCCAGGCATGTCTTCTTTAGATTTCTTGGGTTATTTGAACTTATCAAATAATAAATTATCTGGCAGGATCCCTTACTCAGAGCATTTGACGACTTTCGAAGCATCTAGTTTTGGTGGAAACTCAGGCCTCTGTGGAGCTCCACTTACAGTAAAATGTCAAGTTGATGATTCGGATAAATACAAGAAGATTGATATTGACAGCAGCAATAGCTCTGCTGACACAATTATTCTTTACTTGAGCATTGCTGTGGGATTTTTTGCAGGAATCTCTGTTCCTTACACAGTTATCGCAATCAGAAGGTCCTGGTGGGATGCCTACATGGATTCTGTTGATAAAACTGCTGACAGATTATCATATTTAGGATACAAAGTTGCTAGACGTTGCAGGAACAATTTGAAGCATAATTAATCGTTATTTTTGTCTTTAATTTTCCATTCTATGTACTTGCTATGCAAATTGTGCCTTTTGTTACTTTTATGTTCTACTTGCATTACTCTTTATATTCTGCTTTGAGATAGTAATTTGTTCGTATAATAAGAATTTTATTGTTAACTCAGGCTTAAACAGATGCTTTAACACCATCATGGGATGTAGAGGTCATTTTTCAAGTTTCTGTTACAGCATGCAACATCAAGATGATTTTTATTCTTTTTTCCTGTATCATGATTTACAATGTCCCTATGTAGCCATTTCTTGCATATTTTTGAGCTCTAACTTTGGACAGAGGGAGATTTAGGCATCTCTACCATCCAAGCTTGATCCAAAAGGAAAAGATGAGCTCAGTGATTGCTTTCAGCTGACTTCATAGCAGAAGCACAAGGACACAGCTCATAAATTGTGAATTCTCTCATGGATGATTGATGAAGTCCATACCTATCAAGACAAATATGTAATCACTTTGCTGAAACTGGAAATGTAATCAATTTGCAACTATTCTTTTTCCTGATGGGTAATCGTACTTTAAAAACCAAATGCAGACATAGGAATTTCTTGCTGCACCCTATGAAACCAATTTTACTACAAAAAATCTGTAATCTGGCATGTGATTTCTACATAGGAATTCGTGTTTCTTTTTTTTGTCTTGTGTATTGAAACTTATCCTTCTTAACTTTTTCGAAGAAAAAGATTAACAATGGAGACCGCACAAAGTAAATTATGGTTTAGGGCCTATTGCAATTCATTACTTAGTGCATGTGATGGAAACATCTTCAGTTATACGAATAATGCTACTAATTATCTTGTTAGTAATAGTACAATTTGCTTATAATGGGCATTCACATTGCTTAGCAATGGCAGCTCCAGTTTGATTGCCACAAGTTATTCCCTTTATCCTTGCCATAACAAGAGCCTGTCTTTAGGACCATCAAGGCCACTTTTGAAGTCGAGCTCAGAGTTTCTCTATCCTATTCTAAGCAATAGCCATGCCTATTATGAACAAAGTATTAAGTAAAAGATATAGTATTACTGAACAACTGAAGATGCTTCCATTAATTGAACTCTGTCTGTTGATAATGAGGCAGTGGTGTCAAGTTATGACACATTTAGCAAAATCAATTAAACCATTTTAATTTCTTATTATCAAAGCCCAAATACGACCTAAGAAGTGAATTGGCCCAAACTCTATAAATGAGTGGTAGAGATTGCTCTTTAAATGAGTGATAAAAATTTAGTTAAATACTTACTCCGTTTCCTTTTAATTGACGTTTTAAGTGTGGGCACAGATTTTAATAAAAACAAAAATTTCTCTCTCCCACCACTTTTTTCCCTGATTTCGCAGTGGGAGAGACTTTGAAAGTAAGAACTTTCCGCTTATTGAAATACAGTAACATTTTTAATAATTTTGTCTTATTCATCTGTTTTAATAATTTTGAAAGGTGCAGACAAGAGAAACGACAGAACGACTTTAATTTTGAAAATTTTAAAAAGTCTTAGAACGACAATTAAAAAGAAACGGAGGGAGTAGTAGTCAAGCAAATGAGTAGTTATGTATGGTCAAGTGATACTCTTTAATGAGTGATGCTATGGGTACTAATGGATGAGTACAAATTTGTGTACTAACTAAAGCATAGTACCTGTACTATGCACATAGTACGGGTACTATGCTTTAGTTAGTACACAAATTAGTACCCATCTATTAGTACCCAAAGTATTATTCCTCTTTAATTGGGTGATACAGATTTAATCAAGTAGCTAAATTGTAGTCAAACAAATATGTGATCATGGTTTGGCCAAATAATTCACTTTAAATGAATGGTAAAGATTTAACTAAGTGGCTAAATGGTAGCCAAGTAAATAAGTGGTCATGATTTGACCAAGTGAAATGTGTGGTTTTGAAGACTATAAACAAAGACATTGGTTATTTTTACTCGTCCAAAGAAAACTTGAGAACTCATATTCACTTTTTTTTTCTGCTTTTCTCATTTGTCCTAGTATTCTCTTGCTTTGTGCAAAGAGAGTTCGTATTTTCTTATTTAAAGAGAGAATGGTCATTTGTTGAAGTTGTTTTAATCCATGTTTTGTAAGAGTGAAATCCTCCTACACTTTCTTGTGAAAATTAAAACTATAACCACTGCCTTAAGCCTTCAAGAGCAAATTATAGCCACACATTTCATTTGGTTATAATGTGATCACTTGTCTAAATTATAACCACTCATTTGTTTGGCTATCATTTAACCACTTGGCTAAATCACCACTATTTATTTACAAAGTTCACTTGACCAAACTATGACCATTCATTTGCTTAGCTACTGTTTAGCCATGGGCTAAATCTTCATTATTCATTCAAAGAGTTTGACCCAACTCATTTCTTCTATGGTCATACTTGGGCTTTGATAATGAGTCTAATCTAACAATTATCAAAGCCAAATATGATCTTAGAATTAAGTTGACCCAAATTCTTTAACTGGATGGTAAAGATTTAGCCAAACAACTAAATGGTAACTAAATAAATGAGTGGTTATAGTTTGACAAAATGATGATTTTTAAATGAGTGGTGGAGATTTAGTCAAGTGGTTAAATGATGGTCAAGCAAATAAGTGGGAATGGTTTGGCCAAGTGGTCACTTTATAGTCAAGTAAAATGTCTGATTATGGTTCATTCTTAAAGGCTATAAATAGGAGCATTAGTTATGATTTTAAATATCAATATCAACACCTTCAACAAATGACAATTCTATCTTGAAATAGGAGAATACAAATCCTTTTTGCAAGAAGCAAGAGAATACTAAGACGAATGAGAAAAAAAGAAGAATTAAGTGAAGATGAGTTTTCATTTTTTTTTTTTTTAATAATTAAAACCATAACTAATGCCTCTTCTCTATGGCCTTCAAGAGCCAACCATAGCTATACATTTCACTTGACTCAAACAATGACTACACATTTGCTTGGCTATCATTTAGTCACTTAACTAAATCTGGACTCTTTTAAAAAGCAATCTCCTCCACTCATTTAATGAGTTTGGACCAACTCACATCTGAGGCCATACTTGGCTTTGATAACAGGCTTAATCCAACATTGGTTGCATGCCAATAACGAGAAAGACTGAAAGAATTAAAATAAAAATAAGTTTGGGTATTTCTGAATCATTGAAGTTGCCATATTAGGGATTCAAAATGGATTGGCTACGTTAAATTTTCATTTCATTTGATGATTCTGACATAGCATAACATATGACAAATAGTGTTCTACATAGTATGTTATTAGTATTATTCATCTGCAGTTCTCATGAACTTGGGTCTGCTAATCTACTAAAACCCAGATTTAAAAGATGAAAATCCACAAGGCCCAGATCAACAGGAAAATACTAGAAAAATGGGAGCCTAACTTTAACCAACTAATAAATTAACAACGAAGAAATAACTGTCAACAAAGACACAAACTCTTGTGAGGGTTCAGCAAAAGAGAAACTGTATAATCACAGAGAGGAGATGAGTGTGACTGAAACAAACAAGGCGGTGTGTGTAACTGGGGCATCAGGTTACATAGCATCATGGCTCGTAAAGTTCTTGCTCCAACGTGGCTACACGGTCAGAGCTTCAGTTCGCGACCCAAGTTAGCAATGTTATCTTTGATTTCGCTGAGTTTTAGTTTCATTGATGCCGAATTTTTCCCCATATTTTTTTTTTTTTTTTTATTCTTATTACAGTTTCTTATGTTTAAAGTTCTTAATCATAGTGGAAGTCAACAGGGTTAACTAAATTATTTATCTTGCAAATTCTGAGACTCTTTGACTGCTGAGAGTGGTAGATAAAATAATTTCTCCATGTAATAACGTATTCCCCTAAGAGGATACCAAGAAGACAGAGCACTTACTTGCTCTTGATGGAGCTAAGGAAAGGTTTCGTTTGTTTAAAGCAGACTTAAAGGAAGAAGGATCGTTTGATTCTGCAGTTGAAGGATGTGAAGGTGTTTTTCACACAGCATCTCCTTTTTCTCGCAATGTCACTGATCCACAGGTACATCTTGTCTTATTCCTGCATTTTGAATTTGCTTAAACCAGAGTTAAATTCGGCTGCATGTGTTCAAACACCAGTCAATGCCAGTATGAATGCCAATTATGATTTGGAGTCTTTGCCAAGTTAGCAACATTTGGGAAACTTAAAGCAATGGCTGAAGTGCAAATGGATAAACATTTTCCGTTTTTGGGTTTCGATTCGTGGTCTTACTTTGAAGATAGCTTAATTGTAAATACAAAAAACCAATTTCAGAATTACACCAAGACTCTAACTAGCATAGACCTTTCTGAAAATAATTTATCTAGAGAACTTCCTGAAGAAATTATGAAGTTGGAGGGTTTGGTGGTTTTAAATCTGTCAAATAACCACATCAACGACCAAATTCCAGTAAGCATCTAAAGATTGCAGCAATTGTCTTCCCTTGATCTCTCTAATAACAATTTCTTCGGTCAGATTCCTCCAAGCATGTCTTCTTTCAGTAATAACAAAACTGTAATAACTCTATGTTAAAATTTCATTGTCTTGGTTTACCATAATCCAAAGCTTGAGATTTCAATAATATTTTTAGCATTTTTGTTTTAAGCCATTAAGCTATAAGTTTGTCAGTGACTTCCATCTGGAAAAAAAAAAAAAAAAAAAAAATATTAGTATATTATTTTTGGCATTACTCTTTTTTTTCTTTTCTTGATAGAGGGTTATTTTGTAACTCGTTGTCACTTTCTATACTGTTTAATGCCGGCAAAACCAATATCGATGTGATGAATATACCAATTCTTTTTAGTGTCATCCTTTGACTCAGACAACTAAATGACTTGCAAGAACTACGACAAATACATATATTATGTGTATGGCCTATAATTGTTCAGAACTTGAGAGGACAACTGAAGGAAACATCTTCAGTTATACGAATATGCTATCAATCATCTTCTTACTAATAGTGATCCTACTTCCTGAAGGGAATGCTTTTTGCTTAGAGTCTGATAGAAGAGCTCTAGTCGACTTCAAAAGTGGCCTTGATGATCATAAGGACCGGCTTGCGTCGTGGAAAGGTGAAAGTTGTTGCCAGTGGAGTGGAATAACTTGTAACAACAAAACTGGAGCTGTTATTGCAATTGATCTACGTAACCCGAATCCATCATCTTCTGAGTGGAGGTTGCGTGGGAAGATCAGACCATCCTTGACAAAGATCAAGCACTTGAGACATTTAGACTTGAGTTTCAACTATTTCAATGGCATCTCAATTCCAAAGTTCATAGAATCTGCAAGGAATCTGCGATATCTAAATTTATCAAACGCTGGCTTTAGCGGTGCAATTCCTCCAAATCTCGGAAACCTCTCTAGCCTGCAGTATCTTGATCTCTCCTCTCACTATCCAGTTTCTGCTGGCAGTCTTGATTGGCTGACTGGTCTTGAGTCACTAAAATATTTACAAATGAGAGGGATTAACCTATCAAAGGTAGGATCAGATTGGATAGTACCCTTAAACAAGCTTCCATCTTTATCTGAGTTGCATCTGTCGTTTTGTAGCCTTCGCAGTTTCAAGTCATCTCTTAATGTTGTTAATTTTACCTCCCTGGCTGTCTTAGACCTGAGTCTTAATGACTTCCACTCAGAAATACCTAATTGGCTTTCAAATATCACCAGCCTCGAATCCATTAATTTACGTTCAAGCAAGTTGTATGGGAGGATACCACTTGGTCTCACAGGGCTACAAAACTTGAGGTCTGTGGACCTTGCTGAGAATAAGAATCTTACAGGTAATTCTTCTCAGCTATTTGCGGGAAGCTGGAGAATGGCTGAATATCTCAAATTGGAATTCATCCAGTTGCATGGAGAACTTCCTGCCACTATCGGGAATATGACATCTCTCCGCTTTCTTCGTCTGATCCGCAACGGTGTTGAGGGCGGTCTCCCTAGCTCCATTGGTAACTTTTGCGACTTGATATATTTAGAGTTGGGTGTCAATAACCTAACCAAAAGTTTACCTAAATTCCTTCAAGTACCTGATAACTGTGGAGCCAACGTCCTTTGCCTAGTTTGAGGTATTTGATATTGGCAGGCAATAAAATAGTTGGCGAATTGCCAAATTGGTTGAGTCAGCTTCGTAGTCTTGTCAAACTCCAGCTAGGAGATAACTTACTTCAAGGTCCCATCCCTGCTCTTTGGGTAACTGTTCATCTGTCTGAACTGATTCTTGAAGGGAATAGACTAATGGTTCTCTCCCAGATTCTTTGGGCAGCTCTCCGAGTTGTCACATATAGATGTTTCTTCCAATAATTGACGGATATTATTACCGAAGTGCATTTTTCGAAGCTCAGTAACTCCGACTTGGATTTGTCTTTCAACTCTTTCATTTTGAATGTCAGTTCCGATTGGGTGCCTCCATTCCAGGTTGAGTTTCTTTTCCTGAGTTTCTTTCTCCTGCGTTCCTGTCGTTTGGTCCATCATTTCCAATTGGCTTAAATCTCAAAGAGCGGTCAAGTTTCTTGATTTCTCAAAAGCTAGTATTTCGGGTCCCATACCCAACTGGTTTTGGGACCTTTCTGGCAGTATGAATGATTTCAACCTCTCTTTCAATCAGTTTACAAGGTCAACTACCAAATCCGCTAAATGTAAGGCATATGTCGTGATTGATTTGAGCTCCAACATCTTGAAAGGTATATTCCTCTGCCGAGTTTCCCTCTTGTTGTACTAGCTCTTTCAAACAATGAATTTTTGGTCCTATTCCGGATACTATTGGTGAATACTTGGGGCGTTCGAGTTTTCTTTCACTTTCAGGCAACCAACATATCTGGTTCAATCCTGAGTCTGTTGGACGGATGTCATTAGTTGTTGTGATTGATCTTTCAAGGAACAATTTAACTGGGAGAATTCCTTCAAGCATAGCGAACAGTTCTAGACTACAGGTTTTAGACTTACAAACAATAATCTGTCAGGGAAATTCCAAGTTCTTTGGGCGACTTGTATAATCTTCGGTCACTTCACCTAAGCAACAAAAAGATCTCAGAGAAATTCCATTATCATTCAAGAGTTTGCTGTCTTTGGAGACTTTGGATCTTGGAAACAACAGTTTGAAGGGTAAATTCTTCCGTGGTTTGGATAGGTTTCCATATCTTGATACTGAGCTTGAGGTCAAACAGATTTTCTGGAGACTTCCCTCCTCTCTTTCAAAATTGAGTTCACTTCAGGTCTTGGACCTGGCGGAAAATGACTTTAATGGTATTATCCGCCTACATTTGGGGAACTTCAATCCATGACTCAAGTGCAAGATAAACAGTTATCTATTTTATGGGAACAGCGGGAACTACTATGAAGAAAGCTATGTTGTAAATTTAAAAAAACCAGTCTCAATTGTACACAAGGACTCTTTCTCTTAGACAATTATAGACCTTTCTGGAAACAACTTCTCTGGGAACTTCCTAGAAATTTCAAAGTTGGTGGGTTTGATAGTTTTAAACCTGTCAAGAAACCATCTCAGTGGCCAAATTCCTCCAGCATCTCGCATTTGCAGCAATTGTCATCCCTTGATCTGTCTGATAATTGTTTTTCAGGTCCATTCCGGCAGGCACTTCTTTCTTAGATTTCTTGGGTTATTTGAACTTATCAAATAATAAGTTATCTGGCAGGATCCCTTACTCAGAACATTTGACGCCTTTCGAAGCATCTAGTTTGGTGAAACTCAGGTCTCTGTGGAGCTCCCTTACAGTAAAGTGTGAAGCTGTGATGATCTGATAAGATAAGAAGATTGTATTGACAGCAGCAATACTCTACTGATACATGGATTCTTTACTTGAGCTTGTTTTGGGATTTGTTGCAGGAATCTCTGTTCCTTACACAGTTATCGCAATCAGAAGGTCCTGGTGGGATACCTGTGAAACCCCGTTTTTAATCCAATACATATTACGTATTCTGTGTGATTTTATTTTTATGGAAGGATATTTCTGTTAGTTTTAAAAGTTTTATTGGGAATGAAATTGCAATAAGGAAGCTGCTGGGTTTGCACGTAACAAGGGGCAAAATCTGGAGGTTTATTTGAAGAAAATGCTGATGGTGGTAGGGTTTAGCGGGATTACCTGTAATCTAGGGGCAGAATCATAATATAAAGTTAATAAAAAAATAAAAAAAGAAAGAAAAGGGGCTGATTTTGGCCCAAATGAAGAAAGAAGAGACGAGAGCAGAGGGAGAAAGCAGAGCAGACCAAAAGAGTTAAAAAAAACAAGGGAGGCTGATTTTCGCCAGCATAGAAGAAAAGAAGAAAACGGAGAAGAGAGGGGAATGGGTGCGGCTGAAAAATGGTAGAGTGAAAGAGAGAGGAGGGAGATGCAGGGAGCTCTGTTGTTGAATAGTGGATGTGATCTCAACTATTTTCCTTAAAAACTTAAGCTTATGCCCTTGCATGTTGATTTCCTTTTACTACCGTCCTTTGCTTTTGCGAATCCTTACAAGCATGATGTTTGTAATGGAATAGTAGAACTTTGCACAAAATCATGTTTTAGTGAATGATTTCTATGTTTGTGCATAAAGCCTTACCTTCAATTTGTTTAGTTTTGGTATGGTTATATTCATCTTCTGTAAACTATCTTTGGCATCATGTGAATGATTTTATATAATGAAATTTGGAAGTAGTGTGGACATGCATGTATAAATATTATGCCTATACCGATGTTGTTGAATGGAAAGCAGAATTTGTGTTTCCGCCTGTTTGATTTGTTGATGATTGAGAATTCCAGCTAATTTTGGTAGGGCTGGTTTGTTTGGAAATTATTTGTGGCAGTAATAGTTGGAATGAAGGGTATGGAAATATGGATTTCATATATTGATTATTTTGACAAGCATATGTGCATTTTTATGCAATTCCACAATGTTTGTGATAGAACAAATTATGGGAGCAGTATGTTGATATGGTGGCTGAATTGTGTTGTTGACTGAAATTGGAGATTTAATGCTTGGTTTTATATGGGTAGAGCATATATGTTGATCCTAAAGAACCAAGATTTATT